AAATAGTTTTAAAAACATAAAAGTAAAAACCAATCCTTCAGGTCTTCTTGAAGAATTCATATATGACACTAGAGGGTACCCACATTTATTACATAACAGCTAATTAGAGGAAACCGTGTGTTCATGTTTCAACTTTTCCGTAAGTCCCTTCAGGAGGCCTGTAATGCTTGGGGAAAGCCTTCAGCTGCAGGGAATTAAACGCATATTTGCGACTTCCAACATTCTTCATTGTATTTTCTCTTCGACAACCCTCACTGGGGAAAAAACAAGCACAAGAAATGACAGCAGTAAAAAAGGAAAAAAGAAAAGACTTAAACTCAGATGAAATGAACTGATTATTTTCATAGCATTAAAAGAAAGGTTGATTAATTTAAATGGATGCCAGACTCATTTATGACAATACACACGTAAGATGGCGGGTTTCTGAACAAGGCAATTAAGAAGCACAGAGATGGACACAGGCTGTATGGGACTGCGAGGTTTGCATTTCCAAAAGCAGCACTGTATCGAAGTGGAGGACAAACTTTTTTTTTTTAAGGTAATGGTTTCATGTATTTTGTGTCTGGTTATCTGAGGGGTCTATCCTAACTAGTGGTTCAGAGGTTCTGTCACATAGCAATTTGAATGGAAAAAGTGCTACTCTTACCAAAAGCCTTTAAAAAGCTGCATTTTTCTATATTAGCAACAGCTGTTAACCGTCTCAAATTCAAAATGCTGATTTTCCTTGCAGAATTCAATATGTAGCAAAACCATCTGGCTAAGAAGGTGGCTGTCACATGCTGTCTCAACCTGGGAGACAGCTGTCCCGGGCACACAGCAATGCCGCGGGCTGTGCGATGGCTACACAGCTCTCAGCGCTGGGGCGTCGTGAAGAAGTGACCCCACCGAGGTCACCTTCTCCAGGTGAGCTGCCCTCGTGGTCACCTCTCTCAAGAGTGCCACTGAGCCAGTGAGAGCCCACAGGGGCCCTTCCCTAGAGAACCTGCCACCAGCCTCTCCCGCTGCTGCATTGATCAAGGGTTGTCATTGGCAACCCAGTGGGCAAAGCAAATGCTCAACAGGAGGATGAGCTGTGAGGCAGGCCTCACATTCCCGAATGGGAGCTGCAGCGGAGCTCTCTGGGAAATGTTCTGATAGACATGAGATTCACAGGCAAAAGCGATTCTAAATAGGAATGACTTCCTATATAGCACAGTATAAGTTCATAGTTTTATATTCTAAGACTAGCAGTTAAATCAACTAATTATTAAATTTAGTACAAAATCCCCTTCATGAGATGTAAAATTTGCAGTTACCAAGAAACAGTGATTTTAAAAAAATATTTCAAGTTGTATGAAGACCATTATGTCATGCATTTTAAAAAAATATCAGTGGCAATTGCTCAAGCCTTTTAAGGTGAAAATGACAATCTCATTATTAAGAACATGAAAAATATTTTTGGTAAGACAGTGATTTTATTCAGAAGATAAACTCGGGTATTTTAGAAAAGTATCCACCTGCTTGTTATATTAAGTAATTTAGTAACTCAGATATGCTTTCTTGTCACGAGAGCCTCAAAGCCCTCAGCTACATGGGTGTCGTCCGCACTGAGCGCCTAAGCCATACGAGCAGGGAGCCCTAGAGTAAGTAAAGACCATGTTGGTCTAACATCCAATAATCAGATAAAAATACTCCGTTTAAAGCAGAAGCTATATAGGTGCTTCTTTAATCTTTGGAAGCTCTTACATTATTGGACTATTTCAGATATGGCTTCTCCATTTACAAAGAAATGTACACACTTTTCAGAAACTACCTATCAGTAGTAAATGTCAAACTGGTTTGAGGAACGAAGAATAATAATTTGTGAACTGTGACATTCCCTTTTTATTTACATGTTAAAGAGGCTGATTACTGGTTTAGCTGGCTGAATATATACTACACATGAAATTACAGTCAAGATTACACTTTATTTTTAAATTGTGCTTATTTTCCCTCAAATGTTTGAATTTGGACTGAGTTTACAAAATCTGACTAATGAGGCTCATCACACGCTGACTCTATCACCCAGTGTTTAGACAAGCTCCAGCCTGGGGCTGGGGCCTGAGCTGTGGAGAGAGGCAAGCCCGTGCTGTGGTAACTGGCGTTTCCTGCCGCAGGGGCCAGCCTCCATCCTAAGGCGGAAATACTTTGATCCCTCACAATGGCTGCATTATTTTTAGGAGTCTGTAGTGCACACTGAGGTGGCCTTGGGTAGATTTTTAGAAAGAGGGATTTAATTATTTCAAAGCTACATGACTTTTTTTATTATATCGATAAATTATTTCAAGGACATCTATTTTTTAAAACAAAAAATTAAAATTGAAACCCCAAGTGGCAACTAATTTTAGTGACAGCTCTGTTTTTCCTTTCCGGAGGGGATCTTCCCCTTCAGAACTCATCTGGACACACGAGTGTCTTGGTGATCCTGAACATCTAGAGTCACCTGCGCTGACACTGCCTCAGCGCTAGCATTAGCTCAGAAGCAACCTGAAAACCTTCACCAAGTATCAGTGACTCCCCATTTCTTGAATCATCTCCCCATCTTTGTTTTATCCTGCCTGTTACTTACTAAAGCAGGAAAGATTTCAAATACATATTTAGCCTGACTTCGTAAGGCCTTGGCGACATGAAAACTCAGCTCAAAGGCACGCTGAGCTTCCTTCCTCAGATATTCTAAAGCACCACCACCACCCCAGCCTCGTCTGATCTCGTGGTGCACTGTCTCCATCTCACCTCGTGACTGCAGAGTTAGAACGTACTGCCTTCTGACCCACCCCTGAAGAGAAGACCCAAGAATCTTAGCCCCTCGCCTTCCATCCATTTCTCTCTTATCTTAGCAGCCAAGCCCACAGGAAGGCCTGGTGGGCACCATGACAGCCGGGGGCAGACAGCCGGGGACAGGCCATGGTGTCCGTGAGGCCCCGCCGGGGGGGGCCAGAGGGGGCGCTTGTCTAGCTGGCCGCGGGCCCCGTTTGCTGGGCGGGCGGTGGCACCCGGGAAGAGGAGGGGACACACTGTGTGGTCAGAAGGGCCTCCCTCATCTGCGCATGGTCTCCGCCAGCCCGGAGGCGGGCACAGCACGTGTCACCCCGGGGGCGGCAGGAGTGCTTTACCTACCCAGAACAGGCTAGGAGCTATGGAACGTGAACCGTGGGCCCTGCCTGCCCTCGTTCCAATAAAGGAACGAGATGGTCTCAGAAAGTCGACTTGTACACCTTGATGTGGAGGAGGACAAGTGGTGGACACACCTCTCCACAAGAGTCACAGGCTGGCAGGACCTCACCTGTGACTACTGTCATGTTGCTACAACTTAACACCACCAGTCACTTGGCATCTGGAGAGAGTCCCCCTCCTGACAGATGTCAGGAGCTGTGCCACAGAGCAGCCACCTTGTTCTAGAAAAGACAGAGCGACCACATGCACTTGTGACGAGAGTGGACTCAGCTGCCCTAGGCTTCCCCAGTGCTCAGGTCTAGGACACAGCGGGGAGGAGGATGCCCCTTCATCTTAGAATTTCAAGTCCGCACCTGCCCTCTGTCACCCACTGCTTCTGCAGTCGTAACTGCCTCTACAGTTCCCGGAACCCAGACTCAGATCTGAGGCCAAACCAGAGAAACCCCAGAGTCAGTTCTGGAAGTCTGGGGGAGGGAATGGAGAGGCCAGATTTTGTGGTGGACTGGGTTTGTGTGCATGCCTGGGGGTAAAGTTTCTGGAAAAGCCAGCTTCTCTAAATTCACTCCAGTGTTTCTAGAGTGGTGAAAAGAAATCCACTTCCATAAAATGCAACGTATGGGAAAGCCAGCTGGAGGCCACAACAGAAGCACAACATAGTCTGAGCTGGAAAACAGAGAAGTCCACCGCCCGTTTCTCATGCAGGATCTGTGGGGTTCCCTGCCATCTACTCTGCTGCCTTCACAGGTGTCTAGCCACCGCTTTCCACACAGGAATGTTAAGGTTACAAATCCTCCCATTTTACAGACGTTGCCATGTTAAAATTAAGAGCGATAAGAACAGAAACCAAAGTGACCTGTTCTCTCTCACACCTCCATCTGGCACAACTGCCCAAAAGTCAGGCCTTATTTTTTGGTAAATTTTGATTTTTTTTCCCATAATTAACCATATTTGATTTGTAAGAGAGAAAAGGTATCTGGACTTGAATCTGGAATTAAAGAAGCAGGGGGGTTTTTTTGGATGAAAAATGCTATTTCAAGAAAAATAAATGTATCTAACTTCAACAGCCTTTTGTTACTCTGTGCATTTGTTCCTGGATCAGTTTAATGACAAAGATTTAAAAGAGTAATTCTAAAGTCACATGCAATATGTTATTTTGATGCGCCTGATTTGATACAATGAGCTACCATCCTCACAGCTTTGTGTCATCCCAACTTGGAAATAGTAACGTAAGCAAGGAAATGTTATAATTCTGCAAACTGTTTGCTACTGTAATTTCAGGGACTACGCTTTGAAATGAAAGCAGAAAGTACATGTCCTATTAAATAGGTTTATCTAGATGAGCCAGTTAGAAAGCATCTACACTTTTCATTTCTCTTCAGAAGGAAAGGAAAGGTTAGCAGTACATTTAAAGAATAGTATCAAATATACAAATTCCTTCCTGACAGAATTCCTCTCTCTAGGAAACAGGGCACAAGAGATATACAGGTAATAAATAGTTTTACATCAGAAGGTAAGAGATTTGGTACAAGTAATTCCAGGCCAGCTAAACAAAGCAGTAACAGAGCTCTGTAAGAACATGTTACAAGCACTGAAAACTCTACAGAATTTAAACAAACACGTCCTCTTGGTGAAATAATTTGGCAGGTATTTACAATTCAGAACAACAAAATGTCAAACTGTAAGGCATGAAATATATCTCGGCGGACCATGCTCTGACACATTCCTTCTGTCCAGTTAGGTACACGGTGGCTGGACATGTTCTGGCACTTTTGTTTTTCTGGTGATTTGTTAATTTCTCATAATGATATTCATTTGCAACGCAATTTGGCCACCAGGTATGCTATGCTCAGGAAGAGCCACGCAATCAGTAAATTGGGGCTCAGAGCTAGTAAAGGGATGGAACAGAGGAGGCTGGGGTCTAGTCTTAAGTCTCGGATGGGCACCAGGCCGCTCAAGTTCTTCTGGGTGACTACCTCCCGTGTTCCAATGCTGCGAAAAGGAAGAAGTTGGGAGAAAGGAAAAGAAGAGGGGAAAGAAAATAAAGGAAAAGGAGAGACACATGCAATGGAGTTTTTCAAAAGTATGGGAAGAAAAGAGGAGAACCAAAACATAAGATATAAAAAAACATGGAATGAAGCCACAACACAAAGAAAAAGATGATATGCAGAAAAGGGTGTAAAAGGGATACCAAAACAAAACGAGCACAGTTACAAGAAAAAAAGGAGAGAGAGAAGGGAAAATAAGAAAAAACTTCTGTAATCTACTGAAAACAAACACGTGTAGGCCGACTAAATGGTTTTCCATGTTCACTCCCTCGGCTGCCAAGCACACGCCATGCTGCCCTGCCGTGCTCACACATGCGGCCAGACATGGACTCCAAAGAACAGGCCGAACATGAAGAACCATCGGAGGCGTCTGACCTTCTCACAGGTGCCTGAGCAGCAGCTGGGGCAACTTATTTCGCCAAAGCTGCCTCCTGATTGAACACTCAGATGATAACCGTTTCCCTTCGGTGTCAACTGCAGGCAGAGCCCTCACCAGACTCGCCTTGGCTTTTCGCAGCGACAGGGTGTGAGCTACCATTCCGAGTCATCGTTCTGTGAGATGGGGTCTACCAAGAATGGAGTCCAACCCAGCTCACTGGAAACTGGGGGTCTGTCCCCCTTTGGTGCTACCGAAGAAATGTGCTGAGGTGAGGCTCCCGGAGGACCCTGGATGTGCCATTCTCACAGGGGGACGCTTCTCATGCCACGAGCACTGATCACGGGGTCACGACCCCGGCCAGGGCAGTCTCGGGGGCCACTGGGGCTACCTAGGAAGGCCCACTGTTGTGTTTCGGCCCCTGCACTGGGGACGGAGGGGCACCACCAGCAGGGAGCTGGAATGGGCTCCGATGGCAAAAGCCAAGCGTGCGCACCTCTTCCCAGCTCCCTGGTCCGTGGTGTCGCTCGGAAGCCCGAAACAGGCGCTGGCGGGAGTGTTTATGCCACAGAAATTGGCAAACCAGACAGATCAGGTTTTGTTTTTGTTTTTGGAGAGAGCTGGCTGTCAAGCACTTGCTAGCACAGCACTGGCCAGTGCTCACCCTGGGCCTCCAGGACACAAGACAGCCAAGTGTCAGCCCTGCCCCTCCCCCAGCCCACCTGCCCCCAGCCGCCCCACCCCGCTGCCTGTGTGCTCTGCTCCTCGGTCGGGCAAGACGCAAGCCAGAAAGCAAGAGAACCACCACAGGGCATGGCCAAACCTCCTGCTGCCTCCTTAGGGCTCCGGGCTGCCTCGCGGCTCCTGGCCACGCCGCAGCCGGAAACACCAGCTACCGACCAGCCACCTGGGGCCTGGGGGGGGGGGCAGGGGGTAACAGTGTCACGTGGAAACAAACGCATGAGGTCAGGTGGACAAGGGTGGCGAGCACGGCACCCGGGGCTGGTGCTCTTAGGATCCCGGGGGCGGCAGAGGCAAGATGGCATCGAGCTTTGCTTTGGTTTTTAATAACTTCTTCCACGATTATTAAGGTAACATATGTTCACGGCAGAGGTTTTAGAAAATTCAAAAAACCCTAAATAAACTTTAAAAAGTCATCCATGATTGGAGGCAGATGGGGTTTCAGAGAAGCAGAGGGAGGCCACGGGAATGATGCCCATCCCATGGGAGGAGGGTCCTTCCCTACTCAGGACCCCGGGTTCCCTGCCGTAATGTAGGAAAGCAGGGCCGACTTCCCAGGCTCAGAAGCGCTCAGAGCAGTGGCAGGATGATTACCCAGAGGGTGGGTGGGCAGGCCCCCGGGACACTGGGTGTGACTGGTATGGGAACAACCTGTCAATCTGTATTAAAGGCCTTACAAGGGTGCACACTTTTTAACCTAAAGAATCAACAGGGCAGACGTGGGTAGAAGAAAACACAAGGGTATCCACTGCACCCTTATTTAAAGTGCTGACACACTGTACACAGCTTAAAGATTCAAGGACAGCAAATTGGATAAATTATGGTGTGCTCAACATGATAAGGCCCACATTCATTAACCTGAAAAAGCTCACAAGACAGTTAAGTGACAACAGTAGACTAAAACAGTGGGCAGAATTACATATCTAACTGCATCTGTTTGTGCATATGTTTTGTGTACTATTCAGGGACTGGGTAAGTTGACCAATGTGTGGGTTAAGCACACTCACACTCATACGTATGTATCTGAACATGCATCAGGATGTTAGCAGTGCTCCTTGTAGTAGCAGGAATACGGAGAATTGTCCTGTGGGGTACGGGCTGGGGCGGGAGTCACTGGGGTAGGGGCTTATGTGGATTCTCTGATTTTCCTACAAGGATTAGCAATCACCCACGTGATCAAAGTTGTGAGCGTGCCTCGTGTGTTGTAAGCCTCCCAGTTCACCTGTGCACGTGTGGGTAACTGCCCACAGCCCCTTGGTGGGCTGCAGGCCAGCAGATGGGGCCGCCCGTGTGTCTAAGGAGCCACCTGCTCCCTGGTCTCCCGAGACCTTTGTGCTCAGACGCAGTCAGAACAAACTGTTGGTTTCATCGAATGTGTTCACAAAGCCAAGACTGGATAGAGGGGTACCAACTGTACTCCTGACGTGCGCCTACGGCACAGACCTCATCCTAGTATCTGCCCCACGGCTAGAGCTGTGTCCCTCCATTTTTCTCGTCTCTCTGCGGCGGGCGGCCTGCGTCTCACCAGCGCGGTCCTCCCTTGCACCTCGCAGCTGACCGCACCAGGGACGCCAAGACCCCACTGCCTCCCTGAGGCCAAGGCAGGGAGAGTGTGAACTTTCTAAAAGTGCATCAACAGGCAGACCTGAGGTCACGAGGTTTGGGTGAACTTGGAAAGACCAAACAGGAACAAACGGTTCCAGTTCTACAAAACGCTACTGTCAAGAGGCAGGCGCTCAGGCATCGCTTTCCTGTACGACTGTGAGAAGGTGAAACGGCAGAGACATACAGAAAGGATAAGAGAATTGAATGCTTTGAAGAATTTGGTGAGAGGACAAATGGTACAGAACATTCAGTAGAAGTGACTTGGAAACGAGACTAGAACAGCATTGGCGGCCACATGGAAGAAGACAGGAGGAGCAGGTTTCTTATCCTTTCTTTTGGTATGTGAGGGGAGGTGCTCCCCGGCAGTGCCGGAAACAAGGCATCGCTCGGCAGCGGACAGAGTTTTAGTCCCAGGTTTCATCCTGAACACACGCCTGCTGCCTCGGAATCAGAACATCATTAGGGCAAGGTGGCCACAGCACAGGGACAGGGGAGGGGCTGCTGCCAGGAAACACTCACTGGACACCGGGCTCATGAAAGCAAACCCAGCCCACCACTGGGAGAAGCGGAGCCAACCCGCGCAGCCTGCGGACGCTCGGCCTCCCCTCGGTTTGAAAAGAGACAACGCAGGATGGGAACAGCTGGGGCCTGCTGGGATGCCCGGGCCCTGAGTCGCACCCACAGCAAGATGAGTGGCCGGAGCACACCGGGCACCAAAGGGCAGCCACACGGCCGCCTCCGAGCTCACCACCTCCCTCCCCGCTGCCTCGGCTTGCCCGCTTCAGTGCGGTCCCACTCAGACACAGCGCCAGCTCTTTTCTCCCCCTGACTCAAAAGAGGACACTGGATGTGATGGGCCTGGAGTTTGACTTGGCAGACGTGGAGGAATTTTCCAAAGCCAAACTAGAGCATGGCCGCCGGGCCCAGGGGACTCACCTGCGCATGCACTCCAGGGCCTGCGTAAAGACCTGCGGGGCCATGCCGTGCTCGTGCTGCAGGATCAGGCACTGCTCCAGTGTCACCGACATGGCCGTGCGGTCCTTGGCGCTCTTGCAGCTGGTGAACCGCACCCCATTGAGGCGGCGGCAGATCTGCCAACGGGAAGGCAGGCTTTACTTAGGGGGAGACGGGACAGGTCGCTGCCCCGGGCCACCTCCCGGGGCCTCTCCCACAGGACGCTGCTGCCTCCCGGGGGCCCCGCCGTCTGCTCAGCCACATTCCCAGCTCTGCCCGGACCAGCCCTTTGCTGCCCACCCCCTGGGGTAGGTCAGAGAGCTCCCAGGATGCCCAGCCCCCGCCAAGTCTCTAGGCCTCTCTGGAAGTGACAGCACAGACCCACTGGTCTCTACACTCTTCCTCATCTGCACAGGTGGGAACAGCTCAGCAGACCCACTTCCCTGTGGCCACCTCCTGCCCACCAGGCTCCCCTCCAGCTCGACCCGGGGCCCTGGCACAGGGCCCAGCGCACCTCCCCTCCCAAGTGAGGGGCTCGCGTGGAGGGCAACACCCCTGCTGAGAAAAGGCCGCCTCAGGGCACCTCCTCTCCCCATGGAAGGACACCTGGAAGCATTTGCTCTGCATTACTAGGAGCAATCCTAGGCACACAGTCCCTGAATCGAGAAAGCCCTAGAACAAAAGACTTTTTTTTTTGGCATAAGTTTGTCGCAGCCTCGTTTGGCAACATGACCAGCTCTTGAGCGGATGTCAAATTATCTACAATTTTTATTTATCCCATTTTGTATACATATACATATTCATACTTTTCAGTAAGACAGTATTCAGGAGTTTGATTCCAGGGTGCTGCCCCAGATCCCCCGGGGATGCGAAATCATCCACGTGCACCATGTTACACACAGGTGATGTGCACCCTATCACACGCCTAGGTACCAACTGTATACCGTATCACCTTTCTGAAACGTGGAGCCCTGTGAATTCTAAAACACCTGCCCATGAGAGCTTCAGGTAAGGGCCTGTGGACCCGTAGGAGATGCTGCATTGTGAGAACAACATGGGTATCTCACGAAGAACCATGTGACCTAACGCCAGTGGGCTCCGTGACCTGCTGTTCTCAGAAAAACACCAGAGGCGCTGCAGGCTGCCCTACAGACGGCCCCGGGCCTGCTTCTCGGGCAAAAAGGCCTCAGCCGAGACCACGCAGCCACTGCCAGGGATGCCACTCTACAGAGGGCACAGTGTGGTCCCAAGCACTGTGTCTGAAGGACAAGACAGAAAGGACCCAAACAAGTTCAGCCAAGACCATCAGGAGGAAGATGGGCATCTTGTGAGAATAGACAAAATTTTTTTTACAAGATTCTAAGCAGCCCCTGAGCTAAGTGAAGAGTGAATTAATAAAATCATAACTGATGAAGTGAACAGGGATGTGCTCGCTAAATTCCACAGGCTGGAGAGTTCATGACCCAGACACGTGGCATAAACCAGAGCTAAAAATAGGGTCAAAGAAAGCTACATTCATAGATGGTGGATCCAGAGCTCCATGAGGTTCTGGAAGGTGCAGCAGGGTGGCCACAGGTGCATCCCTGCACAAGAGGGCAGCCTGCAGCACCAGGCTCCAGTCTTTGTGGGGGGACTATCAGCCACTTTGGGGTGCTGGCGGGCCTCCCCATGTGTGAATTAGGCCCGACTAATAATATTCCAACTCTGTGTGTGAGTCCCAGTGTGGACGGGTCCCCTCATCAGGGGTGAGTGAATGACGAGCTGTGAAACTGCTCTGATACCCAGTCTCAGAGGAGGAACTCCACAAACAAATCGCTGAGAAAGTATCTGAGGTCTTATAAGGACTTCATTTCAGGGGAAATGAAGAGATCTGAGCAGCAGTGTACTAGAAATATTGTTTAAAGAGATAGCAGAGGTCCCAGAGATCTCCCTTTGAACCTATTAAAAGATGCAGCAGGTCGTGAGCTCTAGCTGGTTATCGACTGTGCGGGCTTCGGAAGGGGACAACTGTCATCAGCCTGGCTATTCCACGTCCGAGGGGGTAGATTCTGTGTCAGGCTTATCAGAATTCAGGCAGCTCTACAGTAAGCAACTCACGAGCAACTCTCATTGTGTCCTTATGGAGAAATCTGTTCTCTTCACTCCTGGCTGAGGTTTTAATTTGTTGTTGTTATTAACATTTTTTCCCCTCACCTCAGCAGCTTGCCAGAGAATGTCAACGTTCTTGTTCTTCCTGGCGTGCACGTTCTGACCCAGGAACCGCAGCAGCTCCGGCAGGCACGTCTGGCTCCGAGATCGAGGTAGGCCTGGAAGAGACACAGGGTCGTGGAGCTGGGGCTGCCTGCGGGGACTTAGCCCATGGCAGCCAGCGCCGCCAGAAACGGCCAAAGGATGAGTCCCGGCCGGAGCCGGAGGTTCAGTGTGATTGACGCAAGAAGGGAGGCCTGTGTTCAGGGACTGGGCCCGGTGGCCAGCACGGTGAGGACTCCGTTACTTTCACTGCCACTTCAGTGCCACCTGCAAAGGGCAACCACCTGGCCTCCTTTCAGCTCTTTCGAGGGGCTGGAGGGGGAGCTCGAATCATCGAGAACGGGAGGGAGTGAGGAAGATCCATCAGGTCTTCAGAACCGCCGCCAGGGCTGGAGGATGCTTAGGGCCGGGGGTGGCGACACTGAGGGGGCCGCCACCCTTGGGGGAGGTGGGAAGGGCAGCCTCCTCCACCGTGACAGTGTCCAGGCCGCTCCAGGACCCCTCCAGCTGGAAGATCTGTCAGACCACCTCACCTCAGAAGCCTGGGATTTTCAAACACCAGGACCACCAGGGGAGAAGAGAAGAGCCTCGAGGTCACATTTACGGAAAACAGCCAGGGGGCCTGAATCCGCAAACCACCACCAACTGTAGGATGGAACTATGCATCCGTTTCCACCGCACAACCTCCCCGGTGCATGCAGGATCCCATGCCAGCCACTTCACGCTGCTGCTCGGTGCCCAGCACCACGCTGCTCCGGGGACCGAGCCAGAGGGCTCAGCGTGTGACGGGGGCTGTGGGAACCCAGAGGCTGCGAACCAGAGCCTCCTGGAGGGGACGCACGACCTGACCTTCCGGCCCGATTAGCGACACTGGCGCCCCAGCAGAGTTGGGGGCACTTGCTGGTGGGCCCCACCTCCTCAGCCTCGCGGATAAGCGTAACTGCCGGGCTGAGGGCCACGCGGGCTACGGCACCCCCAGCGTCCTGGGCCATGGGCAGTGCTACTGGTTTTTGATCCCGCAGGCCTCGCCCTTCCCAGGCCTTTACCCCCCGGGCCACATCTCACTGGAAACTGCCGCCCTCCAAAATGTTGAGCGCAAGTCTCCCCGTTCCTGACCACAAGGCTCCTGATCCCCCAGCGTGGCCCTTCCGTCTCAGGGCACCCTAGCCAGGGGGCTGGCCCAGCACACGCTCCCGTCCCCTCAGTCCAAGCCTGGGCAGCCAGCACTGTCCCCGCCTCCAGAGCAGTCAGAAGGTGGGCGTTGGCCGCAGGCCACCTGGCCTGACCCGGGTTCCTTGGGGGACCTGCCCTCCATGCCTCAGTGTCACTATATGTCAAATGGGTATGAAACCAAGCCTGCCTCCCAAGGCTGCTGCGGGATCAGTTAGATAATTCACGGGAAGTGTGTAGAAGGCCTGGCACATGCAAGGACTTGACAAATCTGTCACTGGTCACTATGATCACTGTGGAAGAACACGAGGATGACTCGGTATCTGGGATCCCGAGAGCCAGGTGCCATGGCCTTTAGCTGAGTCCTCAGAAAAGCATTTTACTGACCTCTTAAACGTCATCGCTTTCGAGCTTGGTTGCAGCATACGGGGATCACCCGGGGAGTTTCTAAACCTCCCGAGGCCAAGGCCCCGCCCTCTACACTCTGAGCTGGGCCCCTGGCAAGAGGATTTTCCCAGGTTCCCCAGTGAATTCCGATGTGTGGTCAGTGCCAGAGCCTCGACGGCTCCAACAGCACCCGTCCCAAGCCTCCTTCACAGCCGCCAAGCTCAGTGCTGGGCTCACGCCTTCAGTTCATGGGGAGACTTGAGGCCCCCCGCCTGAGCTCCTGTGCCCACACCATGTCCCCCGACTCGCTCGCGGGCCCTGACCTGGCCCTGCAGGATCTCCAGTCCTGCCATCCTCTGGCATCTCGCAGGCCTGTTTTTCTAGCCCCTTCGCTCGGGCCTTTAACACCCCCATCCATCCCCCCGTGCTCCAGGCGTGTTTCCTGCCTCCCCACGTGCCAGCCCTCAGTCCCTGCCGGCCTCCGGCCACTCGAGGCCGTGCAGCATGGTCACCCACCTGCGCCGCCGCAGCCTCGCCTCAGACACCAGCGGGGCCCCTCGGCTCTGCGCCCACCTGGCCCAGCCTCCATGCGAGCCCTCCCCAGGGTCTGTCCTCAGCCCTTTCATGTCTTGCACGGTGACCTCGGGCATGAAAGCAGCCGACCACATTGGTGACAGGGCGGGAGGCGGCGGGGGGGTCAGCATCAGCATCAGAAGGTCACTAAGCAAACCTCAAACCCCTCGAGGGACGAAAGATAGCAGGTGGGGACCTGCCGTGGTGAAGAGATACTTACAATCCTCTGGCAAAACCTCCTTAAACTGCTCGAAGTAGGAATTTAACCGCACCAAGCTCTCCACGTTGATAACTTCTTGTAAAGACGTGTCGCCAAACCTTCAGAGGTCACAGGGGGACACCGTTAGTTGGCTAATGTCGCTTTCTCTAGGGCCACGGTGACCGTGTTAAAGGTAACGATGTCAATTCTCTCGATCCTTATGGCGCACGTCTAGATTCTAAGCCACATTCCTCCCCCCAAGCTTAAGGTCATCTCTGCTGTGTTGGTGACAAGTCTGAATACGTTTCATGAGCAGGAACCCTGCGTGACCTGTGACAGGCATGCCTGCAAGACACCCAGGCCCTTGGGCAGCCCCGCCGCGCGGCCCCAGGTCCCCGTCCTCCCACCCCGGAGGCGCCCGGGAGCGGGGCCGGCAGTGGGGCTCTGGCTGGGGAATCAGGACAGTCCCATCTTCAAATCGGAAGTCGCCCTGCTGCTGGATGACCAGACCCGACCAGCTGCTCCTGCTGGACGGAGTGCAGGGCCCCAGCCCTCCCCTCACCACACAGGGAGCCAGGCCCGTGGCGAGTCGGGAGGGAAGCCACCCGTGAGGAAGGCGCAGGTGCTCATCAAACACGCAGCCCTGGAGTCCCAGGCCTGGACGCACGCCCCCTCTACCACTTCCTGCCCAGCGACCTCCGTGCATGGCAGCCTCTTCACAGTCCCAGAGTCATCCCTCGGGGGGGCAGGATGCCCTCCTGTGGGTCCACCGCAACCCGACCACCCCTGATGCCCAAAATGGTTTTTTCTCCTCCAGGCACCTGCTCCCTCGGGGTCGCCCTGGGACACAGGTGAGCTGGCCTTGTTTAGGAGCAGACAAGCAAGCAGAGCACAGACCCTGCTCCCCATGTCCCCCGTCCACTGCCATGTCCTCCGCCACCTGGCCCTCTGCTCACTCTAATCTGGCCTGGCCTCAACCCTTTGCAGAAACCTTTCCGGAAACACCTTTTCCAGAAACCACTCTTGTAGTCAGGAACAGCAGCTGCCAGACGCAGGGAATGTTAACTCCTTCTGAGGACACCTCCTTGCTGGGGGCCCCGACGCTGCCCACTCTCCCTGAAGTGGGCACCTCACCTCTGGCCACACCTTCCAGATCTCTGCTTCCTGGGCTGGCGCCCTCAGCCTAAGGCCAGCTCTCCAACTGCCCCCAGCATGACCCCTCTCCCGATTAGGACCAGCTACTCACCACCCACCTAGAGGCCTGCTCTGTTCCTCTCCTCGTCGCCTCTCACACCTGCCCCGCTGAAGACCACGTCTCGGCTCTCCAGTCTGTCCCTTCCCATCTGCACTGCCCCTGCCTGACCCAGGTCACCGCCTCTGGCCCGGATTCTTCCCGACAACCCGCTCGTCACATCTGGCCCCTCACATCTTTCCAGCACATGGCCGGCAGATGACCTTCAGATGTGACTCTGATGGTGTCCTGTCCCACTGAAAGGTCTCCGACTGTGTGGGGAGGACCCTACACCTGGGGAATCAATGGACACTGACCACTGGGCTCAGAAGGCTCAACAGAAGTATGGCATATGTCGTCCTGGAGACCACATGTCCTTAACAGCAAAAACTTTAAGATACCTTTTAGTTCTAAAACATGTAGATCACATGCATGTAACGATGTGACAGGTACCAATAGAAGGTCATTAGAAGCTACACACACCCAGTCCCCTCCTCCTCTCCGACACCTGCACACACTTGCACACGTGACTCTTCCCTGCTGCCTGGCAGGTGACCCTGGAGGAGTTTACGAGGCACAGGCCTTTAGGACCAAGGCGTGGCTCTATGCCTGGCATCCAGGCCTCTCCGTCCTCACCCCTGCCCACTGCTGCCTGCTACTTGAGCCTCCAGCCCCACGTGGCTTCTCCCCACCTGCCTTTGTTCAGGCTCCTTGGCCTGGGACGCCAGGTCTCTCCTCCACCTCCTCACATAACCAACTCCTACTTACTCTTTAAAACCCACTTCCAGGAAGCCCTCCCAGACGCCCTGAGACCTCACTAGGGCCCCTACTCCCTGCACTCATCTTAATCCTTGCAGCCATATCTCTCTGCTACCAGCCCAAGTCTCTCGAGGACACGGACCTCATCTGGTTCATCTTTGTGTTCCAGCACCAAAGACGAGCCCGGTATGTGGCTGAACTTAGAGGAAGGAGGGATAACAAAGTCCAGGTGGCCCTCGGAGCCCGAAGAGGACTAAGTACACGCTCTCCAGCAGCTCAGCGACCAACGGATGCAGCCCCTGGCCCACAGAGGTGGCCCGGCACGCACCTTTCGGCCAGCGTCTGCTGCTCGTTGATGCCCACGTTGAAGAGCACGGGCTGCACCCGCAGCAGCATCCCGCTCTGGATCTCCCGGGGCAGGGCGTCAAACAGGGGGCCCGGCAGGGGGATCCGCACGTTAAAGCCATCCCTGAAACGCAGAAGAAGGGGAGGGTCAGGCCTGCGACAGGGAGATGCGAGGCAGGCGAGCAAGGAGAGGAAGGCCCTGCTGGCCTCAGGACGGGACAGCGGCCTGGCCCGGCCCGGAGGCCTCCTAGCTGCCGGTCACCGACCTGTACAGGGCTGTGAGATGAGTGTAGCGGGCTGGGATGAGTGCTTCCAGCTGAATGAAACGGAATAAAGCAAAAATGAAACGTGCATCACGTGTCACGAACACAGATTAAAACTGCGCTAGTTCTGAGAATCAGAAAAACATTTCTACCGATTTCCTGTGATGACGGGCAGCATGTCGGTTGATGCATTAGAAGTAGCCTGAGTGACTTTGAAGGTCACGTTCCTCAAGTCCATGATCCCAAGACTCATGTCCTCCAGCATGGCCAGCTCCTCCCCTGGAGGCAAGAGAGGGAAAGGGCTGTCAGGCAGAGGGGACCTGCGCTCTCCCCTGGACTCAGCGTGGCCACGGAAGGACAGCAATGAGCTCAGGGTGGCAGTGACGAGGCGGTGAGAGTTGCGGGGAGGCTGGCCAAGTGCCTCACTTCTCTGTGAGTAAAGCCCACTACTGAAGTCCTATGACCACGTTAAAAAGCACAGCTGGTGCAACCACGCCTTGTAGTTCCCGGCCCTTTCCTGGCGAAGGGAGGGGTGGGGGACCTACACGTGGGAACCTCAGAAGGCAAAGCCAGCTCTTTAGGTGTTGTGATCTTTCCGTATTCTTGAGATCTTTTGGTATTTCTTCAATGTCTTAGAACTCCAAAGATTAACGGATACTTTAAAAAAATTATCCGTTTTTACCTTCTAAGAAGAAATAAACAGAAAACGAAGATGAGGAGAAAAGACCATTTATAAGACAATTTGGAAATTTCAACAAATTTTTTAAATACTCCTACTGTTTGACCCAGCAACTTTCCTTCTAATAATTTAGTGGGTGCAGAAATGGGCCACAAGCGGGTGTGTGTGTGTGTGTGTGTGTGTGTGTCTGTGTGTAACTATATAGGGCTTTTTTTAGTTCTTTGTCACCTACAGGGGTATGTTTGGATACATTTTAATGTATCAGAAATGTAATGTTACCTGTGTATCAGAAAACCACTTAGGGAAATGAGAGAGGGTCACACACCGAGGCTCTCACAACCCCAGCCCAGGCGGCTCACCGTAGGTGCTTAGCAAGCTCTCAAACTGGGCGAGCAGCCCGATGGTGTAGAGCTGCCGCAAGAAGCCGTCGTCGTGCAGGCAGTTCCTCAGCTTGATGATGAAGCCACAGATGAGCGCGGTCAGCTGCAGGGAACAGACACCGCCTCACCTCGCGCCTGGCCCGCCCCGGTTTTTGCACCCGCGTTGCTCTGCCTGCGGCAGCCCCTCGCCCTCGGGGCCTGGGACCAGGAGTGCAGAGGCCACGGGAGGGCTCGCTTCCAAAGGTCCGTCTGGTTTTGGTTCAGCTTCCGACCCGACCTTGGGGTCACTCCTGGGCCAGAACCTTCTGGAAGCCCAGAATCATCTCCCCATGGTGAAAGGAAAGGCCTCTATGCCCAAAGATCCAGATCAGAGCTGGCTGGAAAGCGGGGTGCTCACAACGAGGGGCAGGAGCGGAGAACAGGTCCCTCCGCGAGTCTCCTGGGCAGAGGTGCCCCGTGCACAGCCCCAGCCTCGTGGGGACAGGAAGCCGCACAGAACCTACCAAGCCTCTGCCACCGTTCACTCTGCTCATCAAATTACTGCACCTGAAAACTGGTGATGCTCATTTAAGCTCTTCCCTCCTCTGAAGGGAAATCGAAATCACCAGAATAGAGTTGTGCCTGAGCAGGTCTAATACCTGCTGCTTTATAAACCAGAAAACAGATTGCGTGTCTTCCCTCAATGAACTCCTCTGCAGGGAAGAACAAAGGTGGCACCAGGGCTGGTGTGACCCCAGGCTCCTTGGTGCAGGTTCCCAGGGAGCAGGTGTGAAGCCGGACCGTCCTGAGCACCTGTGATCCAGCAGCTCCCCTCCCCCTCCCTCCAAGGCCAACACCCAGGCCTCAGGCCACACGGGCAAAGCCACAGGCGGGAGGGCACAGCGCCACGCTGGTTTCCTCAACCGGCAGAGAGGAACAGGTTCACCTACCGTCTGGCAGAAGACCACGTCGCGGCGGTACTGCAGGCTCAGGAAGGTGGCGATGGTGGGCGCGCTGTCCTGCATGAGCAGGAAGACCATCGCCTTCTTGGCCTTGTCGCTCATCATGGCCACGCAGTCCGTGAGGGTGGTCAGCAGGGGGTACAGGGCCTCGCTCCACTCACCTGGCACGAGGGGCGGTCGGCTCAGAAGGCGGCACTTCGAAGGCCCCCGGCCCCCAGTCCCGCACCGGCCCTGCCACCCCGCCTGCCCCTCCCGCCTCCGCACGGCCCAGAAGTGGTGCCAAGTTCAGCCCCGGTCTCTGCCCTCCTAGCCTGAAGCTTCTCCAGCAAACACACCATCAGCCCTCCTCGGGGACCGCCGACACCCGCTCTGGGGGCTCTACACACTCACGGCCCCGACTGTTCCTTTCGAGGAAGACGACAGCGAGCTCTGGGAGTCATGACTCAGCAAGAACACACTGTGTCTGCGGAGGCCAGTGCCTCGCCGGCACCGCCGTCCCTCGCGGGGTACCTGCTGTCTGGCTTCTCTGATCCAGGTGGCGAGGCAGAGCCCCGGGCTTCCGGAGCAAGGCCAACCCAGCCTGGCCGAGGCTTTGCGCAGCGGGCGCAGGCCCCACCCACGACTGCGGAAGGACCCTCCCCGACCTACGCAGCAGCAGCCCTCAGTGTCCCCGCCTCCTGCGCTTTCTTCCCCGCCGCCACCTTCCTGCCGGACTCCCTCTATTCCTGGCTTGGTGGGGTTGTTCTGTTTTTGGAATATAAGGAAACTGTGACCCTGTACCAAAACAACTTTTTAAAAATAGAACCTCAGGGGAGAAAAACAGAGTGAAAGGTATTTTTGGCTTTGGCTCTTTTTGGTCCTTCCTATTTGGAAGACATTTAGACGAGAAAAGACATGCCCCCATCAGTTATATTTTTTTAACAGGCCACCAAGCCCAGAAATAGGCACTGGATCATCACCACTGGGTGCGCCCACCCGGAGCGCGGCGAAGGCAGTGGTGTGCAGCCCGGGCAGGGCACCCTCCTAGGATGGGGTGCGGGTCACAGGATGCCCGTGGCCGTCGCCCCACTCAGGACAGGCCCTGGCCTCGTGAGCAGTGCAGCTGCTTAGGGTGGTCAGCTCCGTCTCAGATAAACAGAATCTTAGAGAGAAGGGAGCTGTGGCTCTGCTCTCTCAAACTGTGTGCTTCACGCTTTGTTGAGAAACAAATTCAGAGAAACGCCTAAAACCTACAAAAGGACTTCCCTGTACTCAGTGTTTGGTCAACGCAGATTTTCAGGTCTACGTAGCCATTCAAAATTTGGAAATGATCTAAGTGTATATGCAGACACACTGTACACGGACAAGGATTTCTATCTCTAGTGGAAAAAAGCAGGCTTACATTTAGAAAGTCTATAGCAAAAAGGTCCTGGCAAATAAATCACAGTGAAAAAGAACCCTGCATGGAGGAGCGGAAAATGCGAGTCCCAGGCCCCGGCTGCCACTGAGCAGTGGTGGGTGAGCCGTGGGCAGGTCCCCTGACCCCTCAGCCACAGGGGCCCTTCGCGGTAAAACGGGGTGACTGTAGTGGAGAATATCCACGTCTTCCTTCCTCTAAAATTCTCAGAGACCATGTTTTTGTTTCTTTGAAGAACTCTGTTGAATCCATGTCAATTATATTCAACAACTGTCAGAAAAGGCCAATGGGCATTAAGTTTTAATAGCCAAGTAGTTTGGGGAAAGGTAGGCAGTCATTAAGACTATTCTTCACCTCAGAAGTGAATGCCCTTAGAGCAAGTGTTGTCAGTTTTACTGTCTGTTCCACTTAACATGAATATATATATGTAATTAATATGCAACTCATGATCATTTTAACCTGAAAATGATCAGAATATACAAGTGGTCTTATTTGACTGAGCAAGCCCTCTGCATACAATTTTTTGCTCTGCCTACTTCTGTTTAAACAAAATCCACATAAGAATGACTTAGTTTTGCTGCATTAGAGAAAAAACAACAACAAACCAAACCAAAAAAAAAAAAAAAAAAATTTTTTTAGAAAAAAAAAAAAAAAAAAAAAAAAAAAAAAAAAAAAAAAAAAAAAAAAAAAAAAAAGACCCTGAAAAAAACTGCAGAATTGGAAGGATGGTTAAAAAAAAGCACACAGGGTTTGTTCTGGAGAAGAGATGTGGCCCTGGGCGGGAGTTGAGCCTGATGTCCACCCAGAGAAGGGCTCAGCCGCGTCTGGATGGCTCCGGTGTTCAATGAGAGCATCAACCAGCCCTTAAGTCAACACCTGTGAGTGCCTCACTCTCTGTTTTCTCACTAAATCCACAGAGATAGGACTAGTAATATGGGTAAGGAAACAGCCTCAGAAAGGCTAAGTGTCTTCCCAGACACACAAAAAGAATGGCCACTTGTACACACATCTGACTATGCAGCGAATAGTCGCTGGGGATAATACATTTTGGGTCAAGACGAGGGGAAACCAAACTTCAAAACTTCCAAACAAAATAAACTTCAGGGACAGTGATGAGATTTCTACCAGAACCTAGTTAAGTACAGGTGTCTGGGACGTTAGGGCTGGTGAAGGGGTTTACTCTGCCTCCTACATCGAGAAAGTCTGGCAATGAACAAAAAACACCAATGACTAAGCAGCACCCTTCGCGCTGGAGCTGATGCCCTTGTGGGACAAGCTCCTGATCTCACTGCTCAGCTGGAACATTCACTGATGGGTGGTCAATCCAGGACTGTGCTACTTTAGGTAGCTTTGCTTTTGTGTATTTTTTTTTTTTTTTTTCTCATTAATAGGGGAGGGAAAGGAGAAAGTAGGGAGAGAGAGAGAGAAAATGGCGTGTGTTCTAACTCAGACTAAATACAGCTCTGTGGGAAAAGCTAAAGGAACCCTTGGCAGGGGACCTTTTAGTCCATCTGACATCAACTGTGGACAGGCCACCAAAGCTTCTGGAAGTGACAGAGCTCACAGAAGACGAGGAGAGCTGTACAAGCCAGGCTGCCCGAGTGCTGCCTGGGAACCCACTAGGCCTCCCCTCGGCTCTACAAACTGCAGGGCACGCAGAGCCGAGGAAAGCCCCGAGCTGCCTCGGGCCAGGGTCATGAGGCTGCCACCCCCTTTCCTGGCCTTAACTGCTGGGGACGGTCACCGCCACGGGGCTCGGGGGAGACAGCGCAGCGAGAAGGCACCGACCTGTCCTGCAGGTAAGCTGGGGGGACTGGGAGTCCAGAGGCAGGTGGGAAGGAGCCAGGCCCAGGCCAGGGGAGGTGCTGGGGAGGGCCCAGGGAACCGGAGCTGGAGACCTGCTCATGACCAAACTAACGTTTCTGGAGAGAGAAACTGAGGGGCTGAAAGCAAACTGGGGGGTTATGAGGTGCCTAATCAGATTACCCACTGATGAGCAAATGGGGTTCTGGAATCATCGCCGTGAGCGGAGCTGAATTCCCCGGTGCCGTGTGAGTGAGAGGATGCTCTGAGAGCTGACGGGAATAGTGCAGTAAATCCCACAATCACAGGTGGCTGCACCCTAGACATAAGGCAGGTGGCCTGCTATGTCATATTTACATGCAGTCAGAGGGCGGGATGTAATCCTCAGGCTGACTGGGTAGCTGCTTTTTGGAGTGTAAGGGGAAAAAACCCCACAACATCGTATTTGGGGGGTCTCATGCTCCCTCTGGGAAAACCACAAACCACATCCAGGAAATCTGATAATGAACTAGAGCAGGGGTCGGCACATTTTTTCTGTAAAGGACTAGACAGTAAACATTTTAGGCTTTGAAGGCCACAGGGTCTCTGTTGCAACTACTGGACTCTGGCACTGCCCCAAAGCAGCCGTGGACAGTACATGAATGAATGGGAGTGACTTATTTCCAGGAAAACGGTATTTACAAGAGCAGGCGGTGGACGGGATTCGCTCGGAGCAGTGGTTTGCCAACCCCTGAACTAGAGTCACAAACACTGATTTCTACATGCAAATGCAGTCAAAAAGATTCCATTTCTAGCACTAACTCCACCTGAAGCCCACAGCAGTGCCTGACAGGAAGTCTAAGGCTGCAGCCAGACTCAGAAGAGAGGATGCTGTGTGATTACCATGCCACAGCATCTGGACGGCTACCTCTTATCTACCTCCCCCTCCATGGGATGCTCGCAAGCTCAGGTGAAATCACAGGAAGCGTCATGTACCATCGTGTCCTCCCTTAGCCAGGCCACCCACTTCAGGAAGCCTAATGCGCTGGTGGACACTAACTTCTGAAAAGGGTTTAGGATGGGAAAGTGACAAAAACGCATGTGGTAGCCTGCTTCTGGTCACAATACCAGCCCGACTGGCCCCTCGCCACACCTACGAAAAGTTGCTACATCCCTCACAATGAGGAAACTCCTAAAATGTTTTCCTAACTCTGGGAGTACAAGGTAACCTTTGACAGTTTAGCTACAAACACACCCTGAATATTAAGAAGACATCTGCAGAAGCCTTGAACAGAAACCACGTACCTGGGCTGGACTCTTCAGGAGGGGGACTGCAATCTGCACAGAAATGGAGGGTGACATGGATGATTAAGGAGCGGCACACGGTTCAAACACGAGCAACTCAACGCTTAGAGCAACTGCAGCAGCAGCTGGCAGTAAGCCGGCTAAACTGAGCCTCGGAGAAGAGGCCGGGGCCTGCCTGCCTCTTCCCCAGGAGTCGCGTGAAGGTGGTCGGGCTGCCTGGAGCTCCCTGCCCGACCCACCGGTGTCCACATTCATGTTGCTGGCACTTCAACATGACACGCTCTTCGGGAAGAGCAGGTTAACGTGGCACAATGGATAAAGCCCCCACGTCCATCCCATTGCATGTGCTGGAGCCCACGCTGGCTCACGACATCTGGAAGCAAACTTGCAGTGAGAGAGACTGACCAGTAAATCGAGCGTGCAGCTCAGAGCCCACCGCCCTGACTGACTCTAGAGCCTGGGCTAAAGGTCGGCTGCTGAGATCCAAAAGGTTAGGGTCCAGTCATGAAACCCATATACCAGACACATGCATGCCAATCTTTACGATGTTTAAGCCAAATACAAAACGTTTATGATTGAGGGAAGTCTATAATTGGAACATCCCTTCAGGTCCCTCAAAGAACACCAAGTTTAACTCAATTTCACCTACACTGAGTCACATCGGGAGGTACTCATTCCAAGTTCTCTTCTCCCTTAAAAACTCTAAAATCCCTGGTTAACTGGGTGTGCCACCTGAAACAAACAAGTCTGAAAAGGGATCGTTTGGGCTAAAAGCTTATTTTATTTTATGTCTAAACTTTTCAGTTCAAAGAACGTTTTAGGATCCTGAAACAGGTAGTTTCAGATCCTCAAGAATAACGAGAACCAGCTGAACGGAGACTTTGGCAACCTGGATTGTCCAGAAGGGTGGTGGCAGGGATCTTCTCTCTAATCGTCTTTGGCAATGACTTCTTAAACTGGCCAACGGGACAGAAAATAGAGCAAAATTAAAGGCCTCTGTATGTTGAAGACTTCAGCGTCTTCACTAGAGCGCAAATATCCTGAGACTGCCTGCTTCACAAAGAGGGAAACCACCGTGGGGTGTGTGATGCACAGCGGTGACTGTTCAGCATCTGTCTGGCTAAAATCAGAATTACCCCAGGCCTTGGAAAAATACAGATCTCTGTCTCCCCATCACCCTTCCTCCAAGATCCCAAGTCTCTATGAGGAGAAGGGTCTAGAAGCCTGTTTTCATGATCTGCAGTGATCCCAAACCGCTGGGCTGGGACCATGCCTGAGAAGGGATGAGGGGTTAAACCCACTGGGTAGACTCATTTTTCAATCAAACGGGAGAGAGGGACCTCCTCTTAGATCACAGAGGCCCCTGCGATTTGATGCCCACTGTGGACTGCGCCACACCCATGCGGATTTTAGCACACAATCTCAGGGGTACATGGACCTGGGGTGCAACCCATAGATCTCAGGTTAAGAGAAACCTGGTCCAGGGTTTGAAGGACTCTTCGGGGATGAGGAGACCAGGAGAGAGTGTGTGGGGGAGGTAATGGAAGTCACCAAATCCTGACAGTTTGCAGACGGGTCACTTGGGTGGAAAACCAGGAGAGGGAGGCTCACGGAGCCTCTGCGGTCCCCGCTGCGGGGGACTGGTCAGTGGGCCCTGCGGAGCCCTGACCCCAGGCGGGGCTGAGGCAGGGCGACTCCTTGATGAAAAATGAAAACCAAGGACCCAGGACAGGGTAGAGAATTGGAGTGAAAAGAGAGAAGGCCTTTCAAAGAGGCATGGAGTTGTTCACAGGCAATAAATACGCTGGTGTGAACACAACCCCCGCTCATTAGGCCAAAAGAAGTGCCCCAGGAACTTGGAAGGGCATCGGGAGTCATGACAGAGCCCAGCTCTGGTCCCTGAGGACAAGAGATTGAGTAAAACAAATGGCTCACAGTCTGGTTTTTCCAGATCCTCCTGATCATGCCGAGGTCTGAACGGCTTCCCGGCTGTGCTCAGATTTTTAAATTAAGGATCACGTGCAGGTAATTTAGAGGCATATGGTTTCATAAGTTTCTTTTGAGCGCTGATCAGCAGAGTCAGAGTCTCTCAAACGCTTCCTACTCCCATGAGCACAACAGAGCTGATCTGTACGGCACACACAAGTCAAGCCCTAAATATCACAAATAAATGCTCCTTTAAATAACTTTAAAGCTGCACTTAAATTTGTCTATATATTTGAACAATACAGGATGTGCCTAGAAAAAGAGGACATTTAAGTTATGAATACAACAGTACATCCAGTTAAATGAACTATCTCCTGCATTAAAAAAAATCCAATCAGTAACTTTTTTTAAATCTGCAGAAAAATGTTTAAATTGCAAGCAAGACAATATTAAAGAGAAATGAGCAATGAATTTTCAGAAATGTTTTTAAAGAAACACAATTTACAGTAAAAAAAAAAAAAAAAAAAAAAAATGAGAGCACAAACAAAGACAAAACAGTTCCATGAACCAAACACAGGTTTGGGGAACTGAAAGTCGAACCCCTCACAGATGGCAGAGTGGAGGACGGGGACACCGGGGAAACACAGGCTCAAGTGAGAGCGCACCCTGGGGACAGACTGCAGGTGGACTGGAGGGAGAGGGCGTCTGACAAACCAAAGAAGGATTTACCAAGAGGCTCCGACAGGGGAGCGAGACCCTGCCTTGAATGAAAGCTGCCCGGTTCAGAAATGACAAGTCCCACTGCCAGCGGCCCATCCCTGGCCCAGCTGGGCCTTAACCCGCCCAAAGGGGGGCAAGGAGGCCGCGGCAGCAGCTGGATCTCAGCTGCCTGGCGCACAACCCCACCAGCTCTTCCGGGGAAAGGTCAGAGCTGCACGGACCAGGGACCCAGGGGTTCAGGAGGCACGTGGCCCCCAGCTGTAAGGCGACAGCGGGGCAGAGCGTCTGGTCATGCCCTGTGTCTCCGCAGGCAGCAGGCTGTTTCTGAAGCGTGCCGCTTCACGCCAGCGTCCTGCCTTCTACCGAGAGCCCCACCTTGGAGGTGGCGCCGAACAGAGGAACCTAACTGGCCCCCCGAGACGTGGGAGCGGGGCCCACCCTCTGACTGGGTTACGAGCAAGGCCCAGGGCAGGAGGCCTCTGCCGGATAAAAGCGCGCCCAGCCAGTGACAACCAGCCTTTCCAGATGAGTCCGCTGGGCCTGCCACCAGCTCTTATCCAGAGAGAGCTGCATGCCTCACCTTTTCCTTGATGCCTGATGCAGTAAGCAATCTCACGAGAAAGGCACCTACTGTTCGGCCTCCTTCGGGTTCCCAAACTGGCTGACAAACCAGAAAAGTCCAGGAGCCCCACCCTCCCGGACGCGGCAGTGTGAGCCCGCAGGGCCCTGAGGTCCGGCCTTCGCCTGCAGGCTCACACGCGGGCCCCGCAGCCGTGAAGGCTCGGGGAGGCCCTGCCCCCACTGCTCTGGGTGCCGCGACACCCCCTCTGCTGAGAGGCCTCCCTGCAGTCTGCGTGGCGGGCGTGGAGTTACAGACACACACGGACACATGGACAGCACTCGAGGTGGAGGTGGGAAGCGGGGTGCGTACGCACGTGTGGTCAGGTGAGGGCGGCATGCGGCGGGGGGGCGTGGCGAGGGGGGGACATCGCAGAGGGGGTCCTCCGGTCGGATCCAGTAGGCCTGGCTGCCCCGGTTACCTTTCCTTCCTGCGCAGCTGCCGGTGCCAGGGAGGCTATGGTCGCAGCCCTCGCCCTGCAGGCGCTCCCGCTGCAGCAGCTTGTCTGCCCGCTGGATGATGCACTCCAGGCTCTTGTCCACGTTCAGCCACACCTTCTCCTGGCGGACCCAAGGGGCGCGGGGTCAGCTCTCCCAGCAGGAGACACAGGGCAGAAAGCAGAGCCCGCCCCCGGGCGCCATGCCCACTGAGACCCCGCAAGACGCAGAGAGGGTGAGACAATTTGGAATCCCCCATTAAAGCTGCATCTGCTTTTCCAAAGACAAGTCAATGTCCTGAGGGCGTCAGTTTCAAAGTTTGGGGGACGTCTGCTAGTCGCTGTCCCGGAGGCCACCGTGGGCACAAGGACCACGGGAGCGCCCTCGTCCCCTCCACCCTCCCCGCAGACCTCGTACAAACACCGCAGGAGACTGAGGTCTTCTGGATGGAGGCGGTGGATCGCTCAGCATGGGGGATGGGGGCGGGGGGGG